CTACTGGATTCATCCTATTGTGGTTCATGGAATTGCAATCCTTGTTATCTCTTTGTACAATATACTTCAGAGCATATTGGAATGCTGGTTTGATGTTCATGAATTTCCTTGGTGTTCTTCATCATAAGGGTATCTTATTTATCCATCAATTTTGAAAGACAGTTTTGCAGGGTACATCAATCTGGGTTGAAGGTTGTTTTTTTTTTTAGGGCTTGAAATACTTAACTCCAAGGTCTCCTCGACTTGAGGGTATATGTTTAGAAGACTGCTGTGATTCTGATAGGCTTTACTTTATTTTATTTTATTTTTCTTATTTTAAGGAAAGTAGTAAAAAAAAAGAATACCAAATACCAACCACAGAGACATACACAAAACAAGAACATTAAAAATGATACAGGATTTGAAAACAAAATGATAGCATTAAAAGAGGTTGTTACATTACATATTGTTATCTTCAATAAATTGCCCAGATCATCAGATGTAAGAATGGAAGATTGTTCAAACCATTAAAGAGAATAAAAAAATAATTATTAAATAAAACAGAGACAATACAGCATTTCACCAGACAAGATGGTAGGAATTCACCAATGGTTGTTCTATTGCATATTGTTGTCTTCAAATCAGTTGCTCAGATTACCAGATATAAGCATTCAAAATTAGTCAAATATTTTAAGTATTAACTGTTCCTTTTAATAAACCACCAGACATCATCAGTACAGTTATCCCAACTATCTCTCTCTCTCTTTATATATATATATATATATATATATATATATATATATATTCCCTTCTTTCTTGCTGATAGGCTTTTCTTTATAGGTCATTTATTTATTTTCTCCAACAGCTTCTACTATTCTGTTCTTTTGTTGAATTTCTGGGTTCTTAATTGTTATATGACTTGGTGTAGATTTTTTTGATCATGGCTAATTGAAGTTCTATATGCCTCACACACCTGTATGTGAAATTCTTTTTCCCTGCTTGGGAAGTTTTCTGCCACGACTTCTGAGAACAGGACTTTTATGTCATTTGTGCTATCTCTTGCTTTTTCATTGACTCTGATCATTTCTTATGTTATTCTTCTTTGCATAATCTAGCTTCTGCTGAATTGAATTTTCATGGTCCTTTGCTATTTGCAAGAAATCTTGCTGGGCATGGTGGTGCACACTCTTAATCCCAGCACTTGGGAGGCTAAAGCAGGAGGAGCACTGTGAATTTGAGGCCAACCTGGGATATAAATTGAGTTCAAAACCAGCCTGAATTGCATAGTGAAACCCTGTCTCAAAAAAGACAGATAAAAAGAAAAAAAAAAAGAAATCTTTCCTTTCATGATCACTAATCACAATCCTGTATGCTATACCTGAAATTCTGTCCTCACACTGACTCATTTTGCTGCATATATTTACAATGGAATTTTTAATCTCCTTGGATATCTGTTTGAATCTGTTTTATAGATTCCATTTCTTTCATGGTTAGACAATTATCATTTCCATCGTTTTCCTTAGCTCTTCTATTTTTTTATCTGTATCTGCTTTACAGTCACTAAGTAATCTTTCATTATGGTCATGATCTTTGTTGTTTTCTGAGAAATTATTTCTGATGTAATTTTTTTCTGGATTTTGTTTTTGTTCATCTGCTTTGTTATTTCCACTGTTACCCTTCAGAGTGTCCAGGTGCATGGCTTTCAGACTTTTCCACCTCACAGCCCAATGGATTTGCTTTTGGTGAGCTGGAAGTCTGGGAGTGCATCTTGTTTAAGTGTCTTTTCATAATCTATTTTTTAAATTTAATTCCAGAAGTGATGCTTGTAAATTGCCTGTGGTGAGTTGCTTTATTGCTATTATTTAGAACTCTTAAGAAATGACTACTTCTCAGAGGTATCTTCCAGGTGTAGCTGGTTTTGGTTTTTGAGTCTGTTTCAAGATCCTACTTCTTCAATTTATTGGTGATGATAAGTTGCTTCCTACTTGGCTCAGCCCCTGGTTGTTTGACACTGGCCCACAGTGTTGTGTATGACCCTTAGGCGATCTCAGTCTTGGTAAACCAGGAATAGTAACTGATTAGAACAGTTATGTTACCTTGGCTAAAGTGGTACAATCAGCAATAATCATAGCACCAAACAGCTTAGAGAATGACAAACTATGGTAAGTATTAAATTGCCACCTTTAACCATATGAACTAGACTTGTGGTTAAATAACAAAATCTAAACCAAACCAGAAAACTGTATGCATCAAAGAAATGCTTATTATGGTGATTTTACCATCAGGGAAAAAATTAAAAGCGATTTGCGGGAAAAATAATAAAACAGAAGAAAAAGAGATTAGAAGCAAGGCTGGAATACAAAGGAAGATCATGGAAACTTTGGGAGACTGGTGCAGAAGACAGAAGACAAAAAGAGAAGGAAGAAATAAAAACAAAAACAGAACACAACAACACAAAAACCAGAAAACATGTTCACATGCATATACAAACAAGAACAAACTATCAAGAAAAAAAAAAAAAAACAAAAACAGAAAACAAGAGAAAATGTCTACTTTGAGGCATGCCTCTGCTGAAGACAATGTGGATAGAAATAGTCCAAATCGAAGTTGATTAATCCAAGCAAGCCAGCTGTAGCTTTATGGCAGAGTAATGGATAATCCCAACAAGGCTGCACCATTAGTTTCCATGAAATTCAGTCTTGTTTCTTGTTGTGAGGCCGGAATCAGATTTGTTCAGCTTGTAGCAGTCCATATGTATCCTGCCCCCTTGAACTAATCTCCCTGACCTCCTGCGGATTTGAACCTGGGAGCCTCACCCTGTCCCTGGGAGCCACCAGAGGGAGCATGCAGCTGTTTTGAGTTCTGAGCTCAGTTAGAATCTCTCCAAGATGGCTACTGGCCAATCACCCTCTCCTGGGGGACATCTGAACCCAAATAACTCACAAGACACTGCATTCCACTGTGTCCATTATTCCATTTCACTAGTGTATTTCTCTGTACAGGCCTCTGGGGTCACCAGTTGTCACCAAGAACCTGCAAGTTTGAATTTCCCCTCCCACACATTGAGTCCAGGTTTGGAGAGAAAACAGTGGCTCTCATCTCCTTTTGCTTTGTTGAAGTTTCCTTCTTTGCTCTCCATGGGCTTTAATTCTCATTTCACATCCTCTCTGTATCCTAGGGATCCACTTCTCTCTTTTTCTTCTTCATGTCGCTATATTCCAGTGTCTGGGCACCAAATCCCAGAGGCTCTTTCTGTGCTACTCAGCACTCTACCATCTTCCTGGAAGTTCCAAACATCTTTTTAAATGTCACCCTGTTGTGTCTAGAATGAGATCTTTCTTCTCTGTAATACACTCACCAGGAAGACTGCCTTCCCACGTTGAGATGTGAGAGAGGACAATGCAATGAATATCATTCCCCTGAAGGGCTTGTTCCAAGGACTGAACATCTCTCCTACTTCACCAGAACTTAGTGACATGGTCACATTTTGTCAAAAGGGAATATGGGAAATGTAATTTTCAACTAGATAACCAGATATTCATGTGAAATCCCTATTACTGCATAAAGAGAAGAGAACATATTGGGTGGTAGGTAGCAATTTCTATCATTGTTAATAGTCAGGGTTTACCAGGGATAAGATTTGATACAGGACACATTATTCATAGAATTATTTACTAATATTCACCCAAAGAGTCAAATGCAAAAGAGTATGGGAGATCTATCCATACACTAGAGACCCAAAGAATCTAGCTGAGGGCCTGGATCTCACAGCAATGTCCTGAACAAGTTAGCTGAAGACTAGAGCCCATGGCAATGTCCTCTATGAGTCCTGCAGGAGGCCCATTACAATGTCTCATGCAAGGCTAGATCAAGGATCTGCACTGGGAAGGCCCAAAGGTCAGTGGTAGAAGCCAGAAAGTTTGCACCAGTGGAATGAAGGATTTGTGCCAGCAGGCTGAGGGATCAGCACTGGAGCCAGGAAATGGTGCTGAAAGTAAGGACCATATCTCTCACAAAGAGAACTGTAGTGATCCTCAGCAACAGTAAGAACCTGAGCCCCTCTAGTGATGAGAACAGCCAAGATCATATCAAGAAAACCAGTATGACAAGCTTCTCCAGAAGAGTCAATAGCACATCATCTTCCCCTCTAGGTCTCCTTTTAAGTTTTGGGGCAACAATCCTCAGTTGGGCCTTCCACACCCCAAACTACACTGATTCAGTTCAACCTGGTGTTACAAGTTGACCAGTAGTTAATCCACCACAATGTTTTTTTGGATACACAACTAAAACAATTCAGATAAGTCTCAAAGAATCCCTAAAATGAATGAGACAAGAAAATTGAGACTGAAAAACTTTCAGTAGTTTGCAGCAATTATGTTTTAGAATAGGAATTTACTGCTCACCTTTGACTTATATATCTCCTTGAGAAGTTACGGGTCTATAGAGCTGCTGTGTCTGAGGGTTTGTGTCCTCCCCACGAAATACGTGTGTTGCAATCTATTTAAAAATGTAATAGTATTGAGACCTAGGGACCTTTAGTGTGATCAGCTCTTATGATGGGGAGTAGATCTGTAAAAAAAACACATTTCAGAGCCCTACATTGTTTCTTGCCACATGTCAGCACACAGCAAGAAGCTACAATCTATGAGTGAGAATATGTTCCTACCAGGCACTAAGCTTGATGGGGAATTAATCATGGATTTCCCAGGTTACAGAACTGAGAAATAACATTCTGTGGTTTGTAATCCAGACACTTTATGGAACTTTATTATAGCAACCTCAATAAGAATTGACCCTATTATGAACTTAGCTGTGCTCATCCAGTTCCTTAATCCACCCAGGTTTAAGGAAATTTGGAGCATTAGCAATTTTCTAAATAAGCGCTCAAAAGGATAAGGTCCATTTTGCTGATTTGCAGACTGACAGTAGTTACAGATAAGCTCTTAAAGACCATTCCCATGCCTGTAATGTCTGTATAAAAAATCATAAAATTTTAATAATTGAACCCCCATCTCTTTCAGAAAAAGTACATGCTGAGATTGACAGAGTTATTGGTCAGGGGCAGCAGCCAAGCTTGGCCAACAGAGAGTCCATGCCCTATACCAATGCTGTCATCCATGAGGTGCTGAGAATGGGCAACATCATTCCTCTGAATGCTCCCAGGGAAATGGCTGTTGATACCTCTTTTGGGGGATACCACCTGCCAAAGGTAAGTAGGCACTCTCAGCCTTTGTCCTTAAGCCCCTCTTTGAGGTCACCCTAGGAACTTTTGCGTTTTTTTCCGTTCTTAGGGATTCCTTTCCTTGGGCAGGTTGTTTTTTCCCTTTTGTTTGTTTTATTCCTTCCCTTCCCCATTTTAGGGAGGAAGGGTTTTTTTTGGTCCCGATTTTTTGGGGTTTTCATTCCGGGTTGGTTTTTTCCAGGGCGGGTTGTTTTGCCGGTTCCTTGTTGGGGGGGAGGCAGTTCTTGGCTTTTTGGGAGGCGGAAGGAATTCAAGGGGGGGGGGGGGGCTTCCCTTCCCAGTTCCCCTTCCCGTTGCCCCCCTCCCCTGCCCAGTCTTCTGTAACATGTCAGACATAGTTTGGAAAATTCTTTGATATAATCGTGTAGTTGTAGAATGTTAAATGTGAAAGGATATTTGAGACACTCAGATCTCAACTTACTCTAACACTTCTGTTTCTAACATAATTTCCCGACCAGCATTACTTCAACTTACAGCCCAGTGGTGGGGAATTTTGTCTAAGAATGGAAGCCAGTTGCAGGTGTGCAGTATTAATTATTTTAAAGGGAGAGAAAGGCAAAACACTTCATGAGGAATAATTATGTGTATTATACTACTAGCCTGTTTCAAAATATCTTAGTTCTCATAGTAACTTTTATTTCCATCTTATAGATTCAGCTGAGGCTCTGGAAAAATAATTTTGCAGATCTCTCAACTACAAAATGACAAAAGTTGGGATCCAGAACCAGTTCTATGCTAATCACTTCCACTACATAATGCTCCTTCTCAGGACTTACTTTTATGTGACTGTAAAATAATCTTCCTCAGTTTTTCTCCATTGGCCCCTGTTAATTTCCTGTGTTCACAAACAGAATTCTCATCTCATGCTGCCTACTTTTAAGTTCTCCACAGTCAGCTCGTCTGTGTCCCTGGTGTCTTCTATCCACAAAGCACATTTCGGATGTCTTCTTTTGTTCTCTGGCCACCTTCCTAAGCCTGTGTGGGTCCTAGTTTGTCTGTCTCTCTGAATGGGATTTACTCAGGGACAATCTCCAGTGGTATAACCAGACTGCTTTCCTACTCTACACTTCTAGGTAGTGCCACTGCAGAACCAGGAAGTGCTTCCTTTTTAATTGAGCATCTCCTAGGTGGTGGCTGATGTCTGAAGAATGCCAGGCACTGTTTGTATTTTTCTAACCATTTATAAACCTCCACAGCACCAGGACATCTCACTAGATTGCTTTTACTACTAATTTTTAGCATTGGGTTTAATAACCATCCTGCATGCTAAGAAATCTAATTGCACCTAGGTCAGGATCCATGGCTTTGACATCAGACAGGCCTCGTTCAAGAAATGGCTGTATGTTTGCCTAGTCTGTAACTCTGGGTACACTGTAATTTTCACGGCTTCAGTTTCTTCACCTGTCGAATGCATTTAAACTCACCTACTTACCCCCACAGTGTCTGACCAGAGGTTAAATGTGATCTTACATGCAGATCACATGCCTCAACATTACTTATTAGTAACTCAATAAGTGTGCATTAAGTTTGTAAAACATTTGGATCGGAAAAACAACCCTGAGCAAAATAAAGATGCAAATACCTTAGAAATCATGATTGCCCAAAAGAAAACTCTCACTTGTTCTATAAAGATGCTCTCAGCATCTTCCAGCTAGAGTGACAAATAGCAACCAGATGACATGATGAGGAGAGGCTTTAGAAGAGAGTGACTTTGGATCCACCAATTAAAGAGTGGCTAGAAGTTAGTTTATGGAAAGGAAAGCAGAAGAACCTTTTCCACAAGATATATATTATGTGAACATGGTCTGTTAGAACAACTGGAGGCAGGCCACGTTAGGGGGAGCGCCAGTATTATGGCTTATATCTAAATGCTTTCCAAAAGCCTCGTGCAGACACAGCTTGGTTTTTTGGAGGTCTGTGATGCTGGGATTAAGGGTTCCCCACCCATGAGTGTGAGTGCTACCCACCCTAAGGGCCAGCAGCTGGGATAGAATATCAGGGACAGAAAGAGGGATGCTGGCATTGCTTGCTGCTGATTCTCTTCTCATGCCTCCTGCCCACTCTGCGATGTCCCTCTGCCATGCCACCCTGCCTTTGACCCAGTTGATTATGGACTAAAATCTCTACACATTGAACTACAATAAACCTTTCCTTCTCTAACATAGGGTGTAGGTGTTTTATCTCAGCAAGAAAAACAGTAACCAATACCCCAGGCAACACAGGAGGGGGCCCCTGTGAGTCTGATGGATGGTCTGTGATCTGAGAGTGTCAGGAAGCTATTCAAGAGTATCAAGTTTGAGGGTGAATGTATGTGCAATGAGACATCATTAAGTCATGTTACAGCACACTCAGCTCCCAGAACATGGAGTAGATTGAAAGGGGTGGCAGCCGCATGCTAGGAGACATTCCAAAAGTCTAGGTGGACAAGGCAGCAGCCTCAAAGAGGACCGTGTTGTGGACAGGGAATGGAGGTGACAGAATTAACAGATTTGTAAATTGACCGGCCTCACTGGTGGTCAGAAGAAGCAGCGTGAGGGAAAGGTTCGCTCTCTTGCCTCCAGGATTTCTTGCATGTATGTGGAGGTGCAGAGGTTTCTCCTCCTGCAACCTGTTAGTGTTACTAACCCTGTTGTGAGTAGGGAGAGCAGTTGATACTGGAGGGAAGTGAACGGAGAAGTGAAAGAGAAGCTGGTGTCTTCTCCCTCTGTAGATTTGCTGTGGTGATCGCATGCTTGAGGAACCACATGATTTGGTTACAGGAGGGACTGACTAGCTGTCACATTGCTCTCTCCTCAATACCTACATGGCCCTTCCTAAACCTACACTAACGTGTCTGTAGTTCAAATCCACTCTACACCCAAAGTAGCATAACTTCCCTGTAACGTTCCTGACAAGCAATATCAATTTGTCCTTCTGAGTGGTTCTATAAATATATATAACCCCAGAGATTCTATAAACCCAGAGGTTCTATAAATATATATAACCCCAGAGATTGAGCTCAAGTGAGCCTGGACCTGCCAGCATAAAGGAGCTAAGGCTATCAGCTTGAGAGCCAAAGACCCTGTCCCTCTGCATGAGTGTGTTGCATGGGTGAAGCCTTGCCTGAATTTCTCCTGCTTTTTCTAGGGGACCATAGTTCTGACCAATTTGACTGCACTGCACAGGGACCCCACGGAGTGGGCCTCTCCAGATACATTCAACCCAGAGCATTTTCTGGAGAATGGACAGTTTAAGAAAAGAGAATCCTTTCTACCTTTCTCAGTGGGTAAGTTGTGATGAAAAGGACTGACACTACAAGAGTTCCTCCCGCATGTCTTCCTCCTCTTCTCTGTATCCTTTGCTTTGAAGAAGATTCTTCCAGGTGGCCCTGTCCTGCATGACTCCAAGTTGCTGCTGGCTACAGCCCAGCAGTCCCTGGGTCCTGCATTGTTTTACATCATCCCTACAACTCAGTCGTTCCCTTTCCTCTGATAGAGTTTTAATCTTTCCTTTGATCTGTTTTCCACAATAGTAAGAGCAGAGGACAGAAGCTATTTAAAAATAATATCCCAAATTCTTTAATTCTATATTTACTGAACCTATATTATGTGTAATTTGGCCCTGAGGATATGAAGATGAATTAAATAGGAAACAAAAATGAATGATATAGAAAAAAAAAGAAAGTTTCTCTCATAGAACATATGGCCTAGTGCAGTGAGGTGAATCTTTTAGAGACAAATGCCCCAGCTGCAGCCCAAAGCTACTTACTTATTAAAAAGTACCAATATTGTAATTAAACCTGACTACTGATATTCTTGTTTAGAAAAAATGACCCATACATTAACATGTTCTCTCTTAAAAGAAAGACAAGTACCATGTAAGCTATAGATTGGCCACCACTGCCCTGGTGTAACTTTACAAGGTTCAAACTACCATCATCACTTTGGAGCTAAGGAAAGTGAGGCATAACTGAATCTGGAAATTATAGTAATATTCCTGTGGAAGAGATAGTAGCCAGTGTGAACAGACTTATCAAAAACGAAAGTTTGTGTGTTCCTAACACTGTCTTCTGAAAATAACAAAGTGCCCTCCACAAAGTATACAGTGGAAGGCATGGAATTTGCTTACTAATTAACTTACAGTAAAATACAGATTGACTTTCTGAAACAGCATCATTTTGCTGCTCTTAACACTAGGACTCAGCATGGGATGAGCTGGGATTTGACCGCGGGGTGGTGTGATTCCAGCGTCCATGTTTTCTCTGTCCTTTGTGCTGGCCTGGATGTGTCTAGGCTGATTCTGATTGTATCCACTTTGTCTTCCCACACATGGTTCCAGGTCACCTTTGCCCAAAATGAAAAGTCCCTTCTAATGTGAAAGCTTGTATAGGATACAGGAATACCTTCCAGATTTCCTGTTTGTAGTATTTTTATGCCTTGTCTTACAGCACAGTTTCAGCTGCACATTTCACTTATTGTAGCTGTTCTTCTTCATGGTTCTAGCATCAGATGTATGAGAAGCTGAAGAAGCAGGAAGATGGCTCTTTGTTCACTCCACAGTTCACTCCTAATAATTGCTGCAACTCTGATGACAGGAATGTCTATAGATGCCTATGCTTTTAAAAGAAAAAAGGAATCCTTTAAGCCATGTGATACCCAACCTGAATATGATTTCTTCATATTTCAAATTCCTCTTCTGTATAGCTGCTTCATGTTTCACCATGTTTAAAGATTTCTTCTATCTAAATTACTATGGAGTGAAAAGGACATGTAGTGACACCTGGTGCTTTGTAAATGAGACCTGTACACCCTCTTGAGTACAGACTTTGGAAGCAAGTTCTCTCATGCCATCCTTATAGATGCATATTATTAATAGTTAGACAGGGAATGGATTGTATCTTCTTTTGTAACATAATCAAACTAAAAAATACCAAATAGTGTCAGCTCCAAAATCATGTGCCCAAAGAATAAGCAGAACAGGGCCTAAGAGTCAACTTTTTATACTTCTAGTTTAATGCGCCGTACAATACAAATAGAAGGTAATGCACTTCCTCATTTTAAAGACTTTCTTTTCAGTTTAAAAATAATTGTGTTCATACCACATGTGGTATACCACACCGTGCATAGGGTATGAACACTTACAATATTTCTGTGTGACAAACAGTCCCAAAACTCTGTGAGTTAGAGCAAAGCATTTGTTACTGCTTGCAATATGCATGTTACATGTGTGGCTCTGCTGATTTGCCTGGGTTCTCTTGAATGGGGAGGAGGTCAGCTGACTCCAGGCTGATCAAACACAATCTCAGCTGAGACAGTGGTGCTCTTTTCACATTCTTTCTCATCCTCAAGCAAGCCAACTGAAGGGAAAAGAGAAGCACATAGATCCTTTAAGATCCAGGCAGGGACCTGGCACCACATGACTTCCCCTTCATTCTGATGGCCAGTGAAAGCCCTAAGTCCAGGACCAATTCAAAAGGAAAGAGAGGGCTGGGGATTTAGCTCAGTGGCAAAAAGCGCCTGCCTGGCAAGCGCAAGGTCATGAGTTCGGTTCCTGGTGCCGGAGAAAAGCCAAAAAAAAAAAAAAAAAAAAAAAAAAAAGGAAAGAGAATTACTGTAATTGTTGATTGGAATAATCATGAAGTCACCTTGCTACAGCCAAGGCAAGGGGCAAATTGGA